ACCAAAACTATAATCTTGATTGCTGCAACTTTTTCGTAAGTTTGAAATTGGATAGCATTAATTTTCCAGTTTTCTTTTTTATATTTTCAAAATTCTTTTGTTTACTCTAGCTTCTTTACATTTCTAGATGATTTTAGAATCAATTTTTCAATTTCTACCAAAAATTAGCCTCCTGGGATTTTGACTGGGATTAAATCTATGAATCAACTTGGAGAGAATCGACATCCTAATATCATTGAGTCTTCCATCCATAGATATGATATATCTATTTATTTAGGTCTTTATCTCAGTAATATTTTATAGTTTTCAATGTACATGTCTTTCACATGTTTTGTCAGATTTATCCTTAAACATATCATAATATGATGCCATTGTAATTTATAGTCTTTATTTTAATCCTCTAAAATTAATTGTGGTAATGGTTGCACAACTTTGTGAACATACAAAAATCCACTGTATTTTCTCTTTAAATAAGCAGATTGGCATTATATCTCAATAAAACTGTTTTTTATAATGCAGGCGTAGATCACATTAACTTAGCAATACAATGCCCAAAGAAAAGAAAATAATTCAGCATACTTAACCAAATATGATTTTGAAAATATGAAATATAGTGGAAATCAAATTATATCTACATTATCGAAGTAAAACTCAGAACCTGATGATCGATGTTAAATCAATCATACTAAAATAAATTAGCTATTAAGATTGGCTGAAAGGTCCAGATTTTGGTCAATAATATGCATATCAATAATTTTTGTAATGAAGGAAATCCTGTCATTTTCGACAGTGTGGATGATGCCGGAGGGCATTATGTTAAATAAAATAAGCCAGGCACAGAAAGACTAATACCTCATGGTCTCACTTACATGTAGAATCTAAAGGAGTCATCTGCACAAGCAGACAGTAGAATGCTGGTTACCGGGGATTGGTCAGGGGGTTGTGCAGGGAGATGTTGGCCAAAGAATACAAATTTCAGTTAGAAGGATTAAGTTCAAGAGATCTGTTGTACAACAGGGTGACTGGAGTTAATAACAATGCATTGCATGCTTTATAATTGCGAAAAGAGTAGATTTTAAGTGTTCTTACCACAAAAAACTGGTACGTAAGAGAATGCATAATGCATATGTTACTTAGCTTGATTTAGCCATGCCACAATGTGTATATATATTTCAAAACATCATGTTGTACATCATAAATATATCCAGTTTTTATCATTTAAAAACTTAGTTAATTAAAAATAATTTATCTAATGAAATTACAGAACAGGTCCTTCATGCTCTTAAGCAGCTATAAGTCTTTGAATTTTCTCCTTTTGCATAAATTTTAATAAAAGTTCCACCTATATATGGGCTTAATTGTTTATGGTCTATAAGATGCCCACTTTTGGCTGGGCGCGGTGGCTCACGCCTGTAATCCCAGCACTTTGGGAGGCCGAGACGGGCGGATCACGAGGTCAGGAGATCGAGACCATCCTGGCTAACACGGTGAAACCCCGTCTCTACTAAAAAAAAGAAATACAAAAAACTAGCTGGGCGAGGTGGCGGCCGCCTGTAGTCCCAGCTACTCGGGAGGCTGAGGCAGGAGAATGGCGTGAACCCGGGAGGCAGAGCTTGCAGTGAGCTGAGATCCGGCCACTGCACTCCAGCCTGGGCGACAGAGCGAGACTCCGTTTCAAAAAAAAAAAAAAAAAAAAAAAAGACGCCCACTTTAACATAAGTTCTGTGAGAAAAGTGATACAATTCACCCTTTATCTCCAGTGCCTAAGACAGTGATGGGACTGGGGTTGGCACCCGATGGAGATGTGCCGAATCAATGTTCAGATAGCAACTCAGAGCCAGAAGACACCGCAGAGAAAACTGAGAGTGTGAAGCTACTTCAAAGTCACACATTATACATGGTAGGGACAAGACTACAACTCATTTTCTGGATATTCTTTCCATCATGTTTCACATTTTCACAACGCAAAGCATGGGTAAGTGAAAAGTCAGGATTTGAAGTAAAAGCATTTAGGTTTTAGTCCCGTTTCCAATACAGTGAACTCATTTAAATAACCATGGCAAGCTATCTTGAAAATTAAATTTTCTCAATTGGAAAACAGTGATAATGACACTTTATTCATAGGACTGTTGTTAGAGTTAAATGAAAGTATGAAAATGAGTAGGCTGGAACTATAAAGCATTGAGAGAAATTATATACTGCCATCATATCTCCCTCTTCATTTTTACTTTTTCTCTAAAAGGCAATTAATAGCTCACAGAAAGAAAGAAAGAAAACAGAATTAAGATAGAATTACGATTACCATGTTTGTGGGTGCTCTAAAGCATTTTTGACTGGCTTAGAAATACTATACGTTCTTTGAATTTAAAATCTAACTGAGCTTATCCTTACCTAAATTACTTCTGAAGTTTAAAAATGTGAGATTATTAGAGGTTTTTATATTTTATGTTTTATATTTTATAGACCTCTTCTATAAATTTATTAAAATAATGTTTATGAAGTAATAATCAGGAAAATGAGGTTAATACAAACATTTTTATAAACATAAAATTTGATACACAATGAGCAAACTACTAAAGAAAGTGGGCATCTACATTTCATCCCCATTCTATAACATACAGACTTTATAGAAGATTTTAATTTTCCCAAGATCAGTTCGAATTAACACATGGGAATTTTTTCACTGTTTGAATAACTAACTTATTATAGATATAATTAACAAGAAACCTCAAGTCCCAGTACTTTTCATAAATCACCAGAAGTGAAACCAGCAAAAGACTAATTTCAAAGAACATTTCATTATTTCTAATCCTAGGCTGATTCAAACTAAAAAGACTTTTTTCCCAAAGAAAAAAAAAGAAACATATAAATTTGAATAATTGTTTTTCAAAATACCAAAGAAGTTGTGTGCTTCAATAAGTGATGTATCAAATGACAAGCCTTACCTGAATTCACCGAGGGCCTAATACTCATGCTTCAAAACATTTTCAAAATGCTTATTTTTCAAAGCTTATGGTTTTCACTTGCAGCCCCATATTTCAACTTTAATTGATTCCCTACAGAACTGGACCTTTGTGTTAGTTACAGTGTAACTCACTTGAAAACACTTCAGCATAGACAGTGCATTAGGAGGAGTGTGTTAGATTAAGCTGCGACCCAGGAGCAGCTGGCATTCTAATCAGTCATGCACAGTCGGCTGAGGAACAGATAGATTCAATCAAGAATGCCCAGTCCAAAAATTTGACGATTAAAATAAATAGTGATAGTAACAGATTATAACTCATGGAATAAAATAAGAACCATGAATACATACTCATAAATAACTAAAGAAAGAAAAATGTTAATGAGGAGAAGAGCTAGGGCTATCAGTTCTGCGTATCACTCTCGTGGTGTTAGGAGGCTTTTATGTTGCCTAAAATTAATTTATTCACTCAGCAATTGTTTTATGTCTACGAGAACCCAATTTTATTTATTTTATTTTATTTTTCTAATTGATAAATAATAATTGTGAATACTCATGGGGTACAAAGTGATGTTTGGATACATATAATTTATGGTGATCAGATCAGGGTAATAAGCATATCTATCATCTCAAACATTTATCATTACTTTGTGTTGGAAAGTTCAATATTCTCCTTCTAGCTATTTGAAACCGTATAATAAACTGTAGTCATCCTACAGAGGTACAAAACAGGAGAGGGCATTTCTCCTATCTAGCTGTAATTTTGTATGCTTTAACAAATCTCTTTCTATTCCCCTCTTAGATTTCCCCTTCCCAGCCTTCACGGTATCCTCAGTCCTACTTTTCACTTCTATGAGATTGACATTTTTTAGCTTTCATGTGAGTGACAACTTTTCTGTTCCTGGCTATTTCACTTAACGTAATATTTAACAAATATTTATTGGGAACTTAGTATATATCAGGGACTGTTCTAGGCAGGTAAGATGAAACTATTACAAATGAAAAGACACACATAGAGCCCTCATAAGATAGTTACATTCTTTCTCACTTATGAAAACTATTTCATAGAATAAACTCTGTGTGAATGTAAGTTAGGTTTTTGTATAGTAAACTAAAATTTGTCGGGTCTTTTAAAGTAATTATCATTTCCCATCCTGTTTCTTTGGAATTCCATACCAATAAGAACAAGATAATATAAAAGAAGAAGGAAGTGGAGAAGAAAGATTAGTGCTGTTGAGTCTCAAATATTCAGAAACCTAGAGACTACACAATTAATTAAACTAATTGGGAAATTTCACAAGAGTAAAAATTGTTTAATAACAATAATAGTAGTATTAGTAATAATAATAGTCTAAAATGGAAAGTAGGGTTAGAATTGAATATCACCTCAGTTGGCAATTTCCAGAACTGGATAATTAGGACATCTTCAGGATCAAAGAGACTCTAAAATTGCTTTTATCTTGGGGATATACAGTGAAGGTGACCTCAGGCTGGGATATTCACCTGACTGCTGAGAAGCTTGGAACATTTCGTTGCAAACCATGCCAGCCCACTAAAGCAGCAAGCTGTTTCTGCTTCTCCCAACAAATTCAGAATGGAAATGAAATTCCAATTATGCAGCAAATACAGGTAGTATAATTAAAATTTCTATTTCATTACTTCGCATCCTTTAACTCTCTTAGGATGCATTGCTGAAACTATGAACCTGTAGATATCAGCCACGGGTAACTCTATAAAAAGCAAAATGTTGACTGATTTGAGTTTGCATTTTTCATTTAAATATACCATTATTAGAAACAAATGTGCCTTTTTGTTTTAAGATGGCCAACTACAAACATTACAGTCATAATTATTGCAAGCAGAAGTTGCTAAAATTAGGCAAAAGTTTGAGGAGAAACATTGCATACCCACATTGTATTGCTCTGAAGATACTTAACCAATTACAAGGGCAAATACAGTGGGAAAGTCAGCAGACACCGCCTTAGCCAAATGATCCAGGTTAACATCACCAGTAAATAAGATATATTATCACAGATACCTTTGATATGATACAGGGACATAGATGGACAATAACATCACTTCTGAGGTATTCTTTCCAAAAATGTACAGTCTCAACCTTAGGAGAAAACAAAAGGCAAACTCAAATTGAGGGATATTCTAAAAAGTAACCAATTAGTACTTATCAAAAATGTCAAGGTCAGGAAAGAGAAGAAGAAACTGAGGAACTATCACAAATTGGTAGAGACTACGCCAACAATTAAATGTAATGTGGAACTCCGGATTAGATCTTAGCACAGGAAAAGTATATTAGGAGCCAAAACAGTGAAATTTGAATAAGGGGTGTAACTTCGTTAATGGTATTGTAATAATGTGAATGATAATTGTTTCACAGTTTGTAAATTGTAAAAAGAAGGAACCGAGGGAAAAGAATATGTGAACTCTGTAATATTTTCACAACTCTTCTGTAAGTCTAAAACTATTTCAAAAAGAAAAAAGACAGGTAGTGGATTACATTTTAGAAAATATAATCCAAAGCAAGTTGTTGATTCAACATTAAAACATCTTGTAGTGGCCAAGCGCAGGGGCTCACGCCTGTAATCCCAGCACTTTGGGAGGCCCAGGCAGACGGATCACGAGGTCAGGAGATCGAGACCATCCTGGCTAACACGGTGAAACCCTGTCTCTACTAAAAATACAGAAAATTAGCAGGGCGCGGTGACGGGCGCCTGTGGTCCCAGCTATTCGGAAGACTGAGCCAGGAGAATGGCGTGAACCTGGGAGACGGAGCTTGCAGTGAGCCGAGATGGCGCCACTGCACTCCAGCCTGGGCGACAGACCAAGACTCTGTCTCAAAAAAAATAAATAAATAAAAATAAAAGATTAAAATAAAATCTTGTAGTATTACTCTTTCTAGAGTAAAAACGAACAAGTGACTTTTTCTCCCTTGCATTTCTTCTAGACTGAGACCAGACATGTCTAAATTTTCATTCAGTCACGTTTGATATGACTGAACTACAGATCCAAAATACTGCTTTACAATGGAGAACACACCTTTAACTAAGGTGTGATTTTTTGTTACTCTAATCTTTTTATATAATTATCAAAGCAAGCTGCACCAAACAAGCCAGAGATTGATATGCTGGGGTGTCCATCTAGCTCTTTCCAGATAGGCTTCAATTTGGCTAAAATTTAGAAGTATTTTTCTTGTGAACACATCACATGGATGTCAAAAAGTTCTCTCCAAAACTTACGCTGTCAGCTTTAATAGAGCCTGCTTATATAGATGAAAAAATAAAATTTTCTTCCTTAAAAAATAACAACACAGAGATTCTTGCCAGTGAAAACTTGCAACTGAAAATTATTTGAACTCTAAATAACTATAGACATTAGATATTATTTCTTGAGGTTATAATGAGAAATCTTGAACACTTGTGGAGTGATGCCAACTCCAAATAAACTGCAACTTGCTTGCCTTTTCTTCAGTAGCAAATATTTAGCTCTTTGTTGCATTTTTTTTCTATACATAGTCAGTACCAAAACTTTGGAAAGATAATTTATGTCGCCCAGTAGGACCCAAACATGAAAAATAACATAGGCAGTGTCTGGCTCATGGATCCTGACAATTATGGTCTATTCAATTTCAGTCATCTTACCTCATTTTACTCATATCACAAGTTGAAGACTATAAACTTTCTACTTGGTCACTGTTATAATAATCTATGTTAATGGAAATAATTAAGTACCTCAATTTAAATCTAATTTCTCAATGATACTTATTTTGAGATCTAGTTGTGGTTAAGTAACTCTGTAATTAAATTATAAGTTATTGTGTCATCAGAAACCATCACCTTCACAATTATCGTAAGATTAAATTACTGTGTACATAAATTGTGCAAAGCGCTATGCAAATTTTCTTCTCACAAGAACAAGAAATGAGCTGACATCCTCTTTCTTCCCTGTTGGCTTCCCATTTCCTCTCTTCTGTAATCCATATGATATGTTTACACTATTTTCCTGTCCATCATTTAAATGACTTGCAAGAGAATATTCCATATTCTTCAGTTTTAGCACTAGATTACATATTTGCTCTCCTTTTTTTGTTCTACCGTAATTTAAGTGACTGTTCACAAGGATAACCTTTCCAACACCAGAGCCCTAAAGTTGCAAAGCATCTAAACTCTAATGATCATCCTCTCCACTTCAGCCCACATATGCAGCATTACCTTGAAACACACCACCACCTCTCACTGATCAACCTTCAAGATCTGATCACAGCATCAGTTTCTTCCAAATCTCCCAATGTGTGCATCCTTCAAATACTGACTTTTACTGCACAATTTAATCCCTTCCTCCTGTCCTATTTCCCAAGCTTCTCTTCTGGCCTCATTCACTTCCTCAACCAGACTAACCATGTCAGTCTTTAAGATGTGATCTCAAATAAGCAGCCAATAATTAATTTTTTGCTTTACATACTTTGGTAGTTCCTAATTCCACGTTAATATTTCTGTTTCTCCATCTCCATTTGAAATGACTAAGTATAACAGGAGAAAACTCATGTTATTGCACAAATTGGTCTTGTTACAAACTTAAAATCTAACTGCAACTGATTAAACAATATTAACAACAAATTATTTTATTTATTATTTATCCAAAATTAATTATCTCTTCAATAACTGCCTCCCAGTAATTTAGACCTTTGCCAATCTCTAGATGCAGCCAACTCTATAAGCAAACGACTTGATCTTTATTTAAAAAGTTCAAAATTATTTTCAAATTATTGAATTCAAATTCAAATTATTTTCCCCTTTTTCAAATGTTTTTCTATAATTTATCATTCATTATTATTTGCCTTGCGACACAAAGGAAAGAAATAATATAAAAAAGTAAAAAAAAAATATGGATTTGCCACTTACTTACTGGATAATCTTTTTCTTTTTCTTTTTCTTTTTTTTTTTTTTTTTTTTTTTTTGAGACGGAGTCTCGCTCTGTCGCCCAGGCTGGAGTGCAGTGGCGCGATCTCGGCTCACTGCAAGCTCCGCCTCCCGTGTTCACGCCATTCTCCTGCCTCAGTCTCGCTCTGTCGCCCAGGCTGGAGTGCAGTGGCGCGATCTCGGCTCACTTCCAGCTCCGCCTCCCGTGTTCACGCCATTCTCCTGCCTCAGCCTCCTGAGTAGCTGGGACTACAGGCGCCCGCCACCGCGGCAGGCTAACTTTTTGTATTTTTAGTAGAGATGGGATTTCACCATGTTAGCCAGGATGGTCTCGATCTCCTGACCTCGTGATCCGTCCGCCTGGGCCTCCCAAAGTGCTGGGATTACAGGCGTGAGCCACCGCGCCCAGCACTTACTGGATAATCTTAAACCAACTATTTATCACCTCATTTTCTTCAAATTTAAAATAAATGTAAAAAAAATATGAAAGGAAAATATCTTGGGCCCCCCAAATCACTGAGGAAAACTCAAGCTGGAAGCTGCTTAAGGTGAAGCTGCCTCCCATTCTATTGGAATTATCCCTGTGCTCACTGAGATAGGTGCATATCTGATTACCTCCTTTGGAAAGGCTACTGGGAAACTCAAAATAATGCAACTGTTTGTGTCTCATCTGTCTGTGACCTGGAAGCTCCCTCCCACTTCTAGTCTTCCTGCCTTTGCTTCAAGTTGTCCCGCCTTTCTGACAGAACCAATGTACTTCTTACATATATTGATTGATACCTTGTCTCTAAAATGTATAAAACCAAGCTGTGTCCCAACCACCTTGGGCACAAATCATCAGGACTTCCTGAGGCTTCACGGGCACGTCCTCAACCTTGGCAAAATAAGCCTTCTAAAGTAACTGAAACCTGTCTCAGATTTTCTGGATTCACAAATTTTTACCTTAAAGTTGTTGTGAAAATTAAATGAGATCTTCTAAGACCTGACACGGACTGCTTCATGGCAACTATTTGTATTTAAAGAGCTCTGTTCTTTTCCTTCATTTAACATCCTAATTTCATTCTGTCTTCTTTTTGTCTGATCATTTGTTTCCTTATCTACCCCCTAATTTCACCGTGTGTCTTAATTAATTATCTCAATCTCAGTTTATAAACACACAAAATTTCCTCGGTTCTTAAAAAAAAAAAAAAAAAAAATCACCTTCTTTCCTTACCCCAGGTTTTCCTCAAGTTATTATTTCTTATTTCTATTTACTTCAAAGCCTTTCAAGGCTTGAAAATGTAGTCTGGGTTTGCAGGCTATATTTAAATTTGACTCACCAACCCACTGATATCAGGATCCCTTGCCCACTGTCTGTGCACCGCATTTCTAGCCACCTTAGTTTTGTGTTAAAGAAATATTTAAATCTTTTTTCTTTCCTTAGCAGCTATGTCAATCAACATATCTGGCCGTTTTTAACATGAAAACATTATGAGATCTGTCCCTTTCATTCTGCTCACTTTCCATTCTCTCAGATTATTATACATGTATGGTGTAAAACAAGACTTTCTAAAGTGGATTATAATCCCTGCCTCATTCGTTCTTCCTAATACTTCCATTTTTATCATCTGAAGCAAACAGAGCTAATCTACATCACTACGGTCCTTTAAAAAAATAGAATATTCACATTTTCTAAAATAGCTTATTTTTTTTGCATAGATGAATTTTGAGTGCATGTCCCATGTACAATCTAATTGTAAAAGATATTATCTTCTATACCTCTCACCTTGCACCACAACCTATGGTCATGCTGAACTTCATTTTTCTTCTACTGTGTCTAAACATATGCACATATCCTTTCTATCTCATCTTCCTGTTAAATCAAAGCCAACTTTTAATGTGCAGATTAAATGTCTTCCAGATCTACCCACATATCACTCAAAGTTTTTGTCTCTAGTTCTCTAAGGTGCTTTGTAACTGCATTGTACAATTAGTTCAGTTTATTCTTATTATGATTGTATATGCATTGGTAATTCCATACAAGACTGTCATTTCTGAGGCCACATGTTTTAGTACAATTCTTCAAACTATGATCTAAAGAGTAGTTCCATCAAAATCGCTTGGAATACTTGTTAAAAATTAGATTGTAGTGCTTACTTTAGACTGACTGCATCTCTATTTATAGAGATAGGACCCATGAATGTGCTTCTTAATAAGCTAATATTAAATACACTAACATTGAGCACTATTATTAAATAGAATAGAATTGATTTTGGCAGAAGATGGATTTGTGTGAAATTATAGCTCGATGCTTTTGGGTAGTATAACCTCTCATGGTATGAATTTTGTCATCCATAAAATGAGAATAAAAGTAATAATACCTACCACATGAATCTGGTGGGAAAAATAAACATAATGAAATATGCCTAAAATATCACAGACCCAAAAATTATATATTTTTACAAATAAATAACATTTTATAATATCCCAGACAAATAAACTTAATTGTCCTTCTTTAACTCCTTTCCCAGAGCCTCACACCCTCGAAAATGCCATATTGGGTGGGTTTTTCTTTTCACATGTATCAGATAGTATCTATCATAATTCCTTGCAAATCAGAGGGGCTTGAAAATGTTTACTTTTACAGAAGGCAATGAAGAGAGAAAATTTGTTTCTGGTAATGTTATATTTGTATGCATGATATTGAAATTAAGGCAAACTGTAGAAGGTTGTTAAAAGTTTTATGAGCACTTATAAAATCTATCAATGATTAAAAGAAATAATGAGGACTATCAAAAGTTATGGAAATCTAGTCTCACTTTAAAAATAGAGTGTTAGACTTGAAATGAAGTTCATATCAAGGACATTGCATTTTGACTTCAGCAAGGCATTTAACAAAAACATATCAATTGCCTTTTGGATATAATTGATAAATATGTTTATTATACTGCTGGGTATACTGACAGCTGCCTAAACACCTGTGTTCTAAACAACTGTGTATTGAAGAGTATAAAAGAGGCAGACTCGGGGTATTAGAAAAAAAAAGAAATGTACTTTGAGTCATGGGACCTGATGAGTAAGGAGATTGCAATCCAGCGTGTGGCTGGGCATGATGGAGCTCGCCTATAATCCCAGCATTTTAGGAGGCCAAGGGAGGTGGATTTCTTGAGCCAGGAGTTCAAGACCAGCCTGGGCAAATGGCACCCAGGTGAAACCCCACCTTTAAAAAAAGTACAAAAAATATCCAGATGTGTAGTGGAGCATACCTGTAGTCCCAGCTACTCTAGAGGCTGAGGTGGGAGGATCACTTGAGCCTGGGAAGTTGAGGCTGCAGTGAGCCATGCCCATGCCTCACACCACCGCACTCCAGCCTGGGTGACAGAGTGAGGCCCTGTATTCAAAAAAAAAAAAAAAAAAAGAAAAAAGAAAAGAAAAGAAAAGAAAAAAGCAATCCCGCTTGCATTTCCACTCAGTAAGCCACGTGCATGTGCCCTGAGTGATGCTATACCACCTGGAGGAAGCACATCCACAGAAGGGCATTTCTGCTCTCAGGGCTGATCTGCCCAGAGGGGGCTCCATTTTTTAATATGCACAAAATCTCTATGTGGTAGTTGTACAGATTAGAGTCAGCTTGATCCCTACATGCAAAAATATGGAGATACAGAAGACAGAGTTTTCCATACGAAGTGACAGAGTTTTCCACACCAAGGGGACAGTATGACTCTGTACATCCCAGAGTAGTACCAAAGTGATAATGACCCTAGTCAGATTCATAGTTTACTAAAACCCAAAAGAGTATGTGGGAAGGGTAGGAAAGTAGAGGAAAAACTGAAAAGGCCTACTGCTTAGGACGAAGGATGACTCAGCATCTACCTACAGAGACCAATGACTAAAGACCAGATGGGAATAAACACATCCCAGCAGTGCCATCTGGACAGAGGGAGACACTGAGTAACAGATGCCCTCCCATCCTGTGACTTGGCACTCTGTCAGCCTCTGGGAGCTTAATGAGAGCCTAGGCCCAGGAGTAGGTAAACCCTGAACTAACTGAGATTAAACTTCTTTCAGCTGACAAAATGGGAGATAAAAATGAATCTTAAGTAATATTGAAAGTGAAACATTACATAGACCGAGATTCATACCTCCTACCCCAACATAGATTGAGATTAAATGTTAGGTTAACTATTTGAAAGTTGGAGTAAATTAGATTATATTTACATAATTAGGACACTTTACAGAATCAGAGGGTAAAAAAAGATAATTCAGGGGAAACACCATATAATTGGCTGACTTAGCACACTGTTAACGACTATTTTGGAATATATAGATTTCTAAGAACTGCCTTCATGGATAGTGCTTCTTGCACTTTCCCTCTTGCCTCTCCCAGGAGACTATCTCGGTTTTCATGCACTTGTAGAATACACTTTTAAAAGCATCCATGCAATAGCACAACTGTTTTACATCAGTAGTTTTATTGCACATGAATGGAAAATTAAGTGAAATGTATGCTGCAAAAAGTCTAAAGAAAATTAGACTTCCAATTATAATACTTAACTTTCAATATCACACTTTCTACTGTTACCAAGATTGTATAACTGAATTTTTAGCTTTTAGTTAGGAACCTCATTCCCTCTAGGGCCTGATGTATGCCATTGATTAAATCTTAAACCATCTAAGGAAGTTAGAGAGGCTCCAAAGCCTGGTAAGTCTCAGTCCTGCTTTTCTTTAGCCTGCATATAATTAGTCAGTGTCGTGTCTGATCTCTGCACCTAACTCAGGAACTGAATGGAGTATTCATGGTTAATTGGCAGAGAAACCCAAAATTAATCTGTCTGCTCATTGCTTCTGTGCTGAGATTATATAATTTGACTTTTTCTCAGTAAATTAGACAAGATTTTCTTTCTTGTTTCTTACTCTTTCTCAAAACATAATTACCTAAATTTGAATGGAATAAAAACAACTCTTTAACATATGTAAATTAAAATGATTTTAGTTGGCATCAGAAACTTTATGAATGAAAATAATGAAAACACTTTCTCATAGAAAGGCAAAAAAAGTTCTGTGAATCTGAATAATGTATCTTTTAAAGCAAAGCATTAGTATTTTTAGAAGATCCTTTATCTTTTAAATATAATAAATACTTTTTTGTTCATTCTAGAAACATTTGAAAATTCAGAAAGCAACATAAATTAAGAAAACTAAGGCAAGTCTAGGCAACATAGTGATACCCTGTCTCTACAAAAAGTAAAGCGAAACAAAATAATTTGTATGTGGTGGCATATGTTTATAGACCCCGCTACTTGGGAGGCTGAGGTGGGAGGATTTCATGAGCCTAGGAGGTTGAGGCTGCAGTAAGCCATGATCATGCCACTGCACTCCAGCCTGGGAAACAGAGTGAGACCCTGTATCAAAAACTGAAATAAAATTATGGATAATCCACCTGTGAGAGATAAACCTAGCATTTTCACTTGTTCTATTCCACTTCATTTCCATATCGGTGAGAGGGGAAGAAGTGTCAAAAAATGCATATTTGGAATTTTTTTCCTTAATAATATATTCTGAACATCTTTCAATGTAATGAAATATTCATATGCAGCATCATTTTTAAAGCCCACACAAGATTCTATTGTAAAACTTTAACACGAATTGATTAACCCATCACTCATTGCTGGGCTAGCTTGTTAAAAAAAATTAACTCTGATAAATTGGCTTTGATAAATGATTGATGTAGTAGAATATTTATAAACATCCACAATGAATTCTTAAGGATAAGCTTCTAGAGTTTAATTGCAGACCACAGAGTATCCACTTTTAGGATTGGATTTTGGCTGTCACGGCCAATTCATCCTCCCAAAAGTCTCTACCAGCATTAATCTCCTCCGCAATTGTCAGTGTTCACATTTCCAAAACCTCACCAACGTGAGAATTTTTCTTGTTTTACCAACTTAAAGTATATATCATACCAATTTTACTTTGCATTTATTTATTTACTAGTGAGTTTCAACCTTTTTGAAATGTTTATTTGTCACTTCTATGTATTCATTGGTGATTTTAAAAAAAATTATTGTCCTTTATACGTTTTTAAAGAGTGTTATCTTTTACTTCTTCATTTTTAAGAGCTCTCTTTGAACTATTAAAGAATGAGTATTTTGTGTCAAATATATTGCAAACATTAGTTTTACAAGTTTACTGTTACTCTTTTAAACTCTGTATTCAAGTATAATTACAGAAAAAGTATATTTATAAAGTATACAGCTTGAAGAACTTTTGCAAATAACACACCCGTGTATTAGCACCCACATATGGAAACAGGGCAACATGACATCCAGAGACCTTTCTGCTACTTCTAGTCTTTATTTTCCCAGTAAAGATTATCAGTATTCTAACAGCATAAGATAGTTTTATGTTTGTTTGTGTAACCTCATATATTTGAAAGCATATTTTATGTATTCTTTCATGCCTGCTTTCTCTCGCTCAACATTATATTTCTGAAATTTTTTCATAGCATTGCATTCATTCCACTGAATTCCCCTGTATTTCCTCTGTGTGGTACTAACCTCACTTGTGATAGGTATTTGGGTAGTTTTCAGTTTGGGACTAGAAAATCTGAGAGATGCAACAAACAGAAAAATAACCAGTAAATTGAGCAGGTGAAGTCATTTTAAACATAAATAAAATAAGCACGTTTCCCCCAGTTGAAAACAAAACAAGCCTTCAGATTGAAAGGGACCACCAAGCTATAGCAGGACAAATGAAAGCAGACCTATCATTAGACATATCAATGTGAAACATCAGTATGGCAAGAAAAACATCATCCAGAAAGAGGGATAAAACAGGTGATATTCAAAGCAACGAAAATCGCATTGGCATTTCACTTTCCACCTGACATACTACAGGCAAAACACAATGAAACGATGCTTTCAAACATGTAGGAAATCTATTTTTGCCCAGAATTCCACATCCACCTACCTCATTAATAATTCTGTAGGTAAAATAAAGATACCAACAGACATGTACAAAGCATTAGAATATTTATCTCCCATATATTTTTTCTGAGTAATTTATTTAAGGATTTTACTCTGGAAAAAAAAAAAAAAGTGAGGGTGTAAACATAAAATAGAGACACTGGATTTAACCAAGGAGAGTAATGAAGGGAGTTCCTAGCTGTACAACTGTCCAGCAGGTCTACAGAGCAACCAGGGAAAACTCCAGGACAGTTAAAAGCAATGCAAGATCTCTGGACTTGAAACATAAAGATGCTCTCCAAATTGGAAAAGGAATTCAATGGCCCTCCATTCAGGGGATCAGATATACTCCAAGTGATACACAGATCAAACAGGAAGAGGACTCCCAAAGTTTCTACCTTTAGAATCAGTTTTTTTAGGAAAAGTTATAAAGATTTAATTATGGTTAAAAATATATTACAATTATTATCTACTTTGTATATTTGTAAAAGTACAGAGGACAGTTGTTGGGAGGAAGAAAGGAAGAAAAAGGTGGAAGAAAACGCAAATGAGAAAATATATTCATCTTTCAAATTGAGAAAGTACAAGATATTGAGTGATAATTAGAAGTTTAAACATATAATTGGTATGAAAATATTACCATGCTGCCACTTAACAGCAGTACAAAAACCATGTAGTTATTTGCTTCTAAAATTGATTTAATCTTTTTAGCAAAGCTCCTATTACATCTATTGTTTCCAATTTAAACTGTTTCTTTTCAGTAACTCAATTTATTCCACAGAAATGCCTTGTCTTCAAGATTTCCTTTCCCTCAAATACTTTTCTTTATCCAACACCAAATTGATACAGATTCTCAGCAGGAGAGGGCTATGTGAGCTCCTGTGCCGCGTTCTCTGGGTCCCTGGGGCTCCTCAGGATTGTTCCTTATGTGCTGGGTACGCTACTCTCTTCCCCTGCCAGTGTCTGCCTTGAAGAATTGTGTTTTGTTCTTTTAGCTCTGTCAGGCCTGCTGAATTTCTCTCCTTTTGACTGACGCCCGCTTCGGCTCTGTTTGCGCTGCCATTCCTCCAGGTCTCAGCAACGTCCTCCTCCAGCCTCTGGCTCAGTTCACACATCCAGACATCTCAAGCCTCCCACTGAAGCCCCCATGCCAGGCCAGCTGGTTTTCATCTTAACTACTTCACTGTCCTCCACAGGCCATGCAGGAACTTGTGAATCAATTCTTTATTACAAAGTAGTCTAGAGAGACTCAGACCTCATAAATTACACACTTTCTCTCCTAACCACACTGTGCCTCCATGCCTATCTGGCTGTGCTTGTTCAAGAACACATTTCTACAGACTCCCTGTC